GTTCCTTACCCTGCTCCGGCCCGAGCCGGGGGTGGCGGGGGGGGAACAGTGGCTGTGGGCAGTCGGGAGCTGCGCTCTCGCACACCTCTGGAGGGGCCTCCCCCCACACCGCTCTGCGCGTGGCCGAGGAGCACCAAGAAGATGGAATTTCACCACTAACGTCAACTTGCTAGCCACTAGAAGACCCGGGGATAACCTCAGCACTTGGAGGGCCACGCAGGGCGAGATGAAAGGTCGCTGAGCCCCACATCCTCCCTCCAACAGCGGATGCCTCAGGAAAACACGGATTCTTTACGCCGCTGCGGCCAGCTCCCTCCCTGGCTTGCCAGACTCCCGCCTGCCACGTGGCCTCACGCCAGACCCCTCCACAGGCATCACACGTGCGCCCTGTGCGCACCGTTGTTACCCGGGACACTCGCAGGAGCGCGTTCCTACTCACCCGGCTTTGAGGAAGTGTTTTTATTCATAAACATCCTTCTTATCTGCAATGTAATCTACAATCTCTTGTGGGCACATCAACTTTTCTGCATCTCCGTCAGGAATTTCAAATCCTGGAAGAAAGTGCACATATTTAGCCCAAACCAACGGAAGCGGGAGCAAGGCTAACGGAAGTGATGACTGCTGGCTCAGGCGCCTGCAGCTTGGCAGGGGACAAACAGGCAGGGGCTGCTGCTCAGCTGTGTTGGAGCCAACGCTTCGTCACCACGCCGAGTCTCAGGCTGCGTTCTGCCTTAGGCGACCTGGCTGCGGGGTAAGGGACAAGGCAGGCGCAGCAGGGCAGGGCCGCCGAGCCAGCGAGTGCCCCTCACGCCTGGTGAAAGCCACCAACACCTTCCCAGAGCTCCCGCAGCCACCGATGTGCAACAGGAGGGGAGCATTCCTGGTAGCCCCAGGCAAGCCAAGGCCCGAAGCCCCCAGGTTCAGAGCCTGCTGCTGGGTGCCCATAGAACCAAGGGCTCACACAGCGCCACAGCCGGGTGTAGGGAGCACGAGGGCTCTCAGCCACGGAACCGGTCAGAAATTCGTTCCAGAAAATTTAGGTTCTTCTTTCTAGCCCGCCTGGCCACCAACACTGCACCCACGGTACTGGTGGGTGGATTAAATACGCAGCATTAGCAAATGCTCTGGAAGTGAAACGGCTGCCTTAGTCTTAGCAAATGACCGGACCCCAGGGACATCCATGACCCAATGGGACAAATTAGGCACGCACGCCAGAATTTAAGAGCTGTAAATGAAAGCATGAAGAAGGCCAAAATAATGTAAAAAGACATTCGGAGTATAACCTAATAAAGAAGAAACCCCACTTTTTTTCTAGTGGCATCAAGTACCGAGAGTGAAAAAAATTCTCGTGTGGAAAAAGCCTGGCACATCTGTGCTTCCACAGGCAGG